GAACTCTCATATAGAGACTTCCTCAAAACATACACACAGCCCCCACACCCTCCTCCATTTTCACCCAGCTGAAGCCCTCTCCATTCCTTTATAGCAAGCACACACACACCATCACACTACCCTAATCACAAAACCATGATCATACTCACACACAACACTAATGCGCTCCCCTTTCATCAGGCACACTAAAGAAATGCCAGCTTTCTCCATGGCACGCGCATATGAGATGGATGCAGAACACGATGCCGTATAGATGGATTATTATTTAGTAGAGATACTGATTCTGGAACCACAATCAGGTTCTGAGTAAAGAGATATGGAGAACATTGAGATGTTTGGCTGATTTATTAAAGGAATTTGAGAGAGTTGTGTAAATAAGACACGGAAACAAAGTGTTTTCAAAGGAAAAAAAATACTATTTTACATTGAAAAAAGAGGTTAAGTAATGCTAATAAAAATAACTTTTTATTATATAACATTATAATATACATTAATTTTAATTGATATAATTATATAAATTAGTATTTGTATTATATATATATATATATATGTATTAAATACACAGTTTATATACATCCTTTAAGAATAGAATACACACATTTTTCAATTATTACGAAAAAAAACGGAGGAGAGATCTCATAATAAACAGTGCAATTTAACTTATACCTATTTACTTGATTATTGATAGTATGTATGTCAAGATCTTGTTAAAATTCACTTTAAATTCAGAGGTGAACTGTTTTTGAATTAATCTGTTGACTTATAATACTCATTCTTCACCACCTGCGGCTGCTAGAGTAGTGATGAGAAGTGTGTGAAGTCTCTTTGGTGAAGTGAATCAGATGTCATTATGCCCTCTATAGCTCTTAAGGCTTTTCCAGTGTTGTTATTGTTAACTAAAACTTAAACTATTACAAATCTATTTTGTTCATTGAATTACAGCTAAAATAAAATAACAAATCAATAAAAATATTAGATGAAAACTTAAGTTTAAAAATCAATTATTTTGGGGATTGACTCTCAGCCCTAATTAACAAGATATAACAGCCATATCTCACGGCAATTCATACGAATTTTACAAGGTGGCTAATTCGTACTAATTCATACGACCTCACTCGTACATTTTTGCTAATTCGTACATATTTTACGAGTTACCAAATTCGTATGAATTCGTACGAATGACCTACCCCTGACTCCACCCCCAAACCTACCCATCACGTGGGTTTAGACAAATCGTACAAATTCGCACGAGTGAGGTCGTATGAATTAGTACGAATTAGCCACCTTTTAATTACTCGTACGAATTCGTTCGAATTGGTCGTGAGAGAGCGTTGGATATAATAGTAAATTAAATTCTCTGTGAAGTAGCTAGACGAGCGCAACTTTCTGTTGAATCCAAAAAACTATATGTCTACAGACAACTAATCACCTACTAGTAACCTAGGAGTTACCTTCTGTTGTATATGTGTATGTGAGTGTGTACAGCGGGGTTGGGAGGGATTATTATGGAGATCAGCTAATGCATGATGAACATTGCATTCTGGTTTTAAGTGACTATAGTGTGGAAAGCACAGCACAATGCACAACCTCTAACTTTTTTTTCTACTTTCTCTCTCCCTCTTTAAAAGCCACACTTTCTCCCAAAGCACCTGGAGATCACAAAAAAGAGGATGAGAGAACCCCTCCCACCCCTCCCCTCCCAATTCGCACACATCAACCAACTCCACACTGCGTCTACCTATCAATACATTGAGTGTGGACCGCGGGACGCTGTTCGGGGTGGGCTACGCAGAGCCTGAGGCTTTGCCATACAGCCTCACAGCAAGGAGCCATTGAAGTGCTCTGCCTCCATAATGGAGTCACTAATAGGTGCCCATTCAGCAAGGAAAGTGTTTTCTGAAAAAAAAGAAGGGGAGCGAATGAGCGAAAGAGAGAAAAGAAAGTTTTAGGGGAAGCGGCAATCACTATGTACGCTGCCTTGAGTATGTAAAATTTATTCAGGCCTCCTCCCACAAAAGCCCCATCCCACATTTTTTTTCTTCTTCTTTTCACTGTTTAGGAGAGTAAGGGGGGAAAGAGGAGAATAACAAATCACTACTGAAAGGGCTTTATAGAGAGTTTGGAGTTCTCTTTTCTTCTTTACTTGTAGATGGGGTGAATAGCCTGTCCAGGAGTGAGTACAGGCCCGAGTCCAGATATTGTTTGGATGTTCGCAGTTTCTCGCCTCTGTACGCTCTCTCAATTAGCTGCGCCTCTCGGTCATACATGCGCTCACAAATCTGTAAACACTCAATAACACGGCTAACATCTCTTTTGAGATGTTTAATGCATATATTTGATCAGTTTTTGTCATTTTTGCAAGCTAAATGCTTTCTAACAATGTTTTCATGTAGCATGCATGCTAACAGCGACCTAGCCTTCCTTTACATTCTCAAAAACAATGTTAAAAGCTAGTTTGTTCAAAGTTAAAAGCATAATTAACCTAAAAATGATAATTCAGCCATCATTTACTCACCCTCATGTCGTTTCAACACTGTATGTCTCTCAACATTAAAGAAGATTTTATTTTATTTGATAAATATTAAGATATTACACTCTGTTTTTGGTTGCCAACATTTTTCAAAATATGTTCTTATGAGTTCTGCTGAAGAAAGAAAGTCATACAGGTGTGGAATAACATGATGACAGATTTTGGGTGAAGACATTTTTGGTGAACTGTCCCTTTAATTGAATATTTCTGGTTCAGCTGAAGGATAAAATTGATTTTGAAAGTTGTGGTTGGCTGTCAGTATTGAATATGAATGTAGGTTTAAGATTGAATGAGATATATTTATTGAGAGGTTAAAGAAAATGCATGGGTTATTATAGAGGATTCCTCTCATCCCTTACACTCTAGCTTTCAGTTGCTTCCATCGAGGAGAAGGTTTAGACAACCTAGGGCGAGTAAAAATGTGTACCAGATGTCATTTGTGCCAACTGCTATTCGAATTTTAAATGCTGAGAAGATATGAATATGAGTAGGGGTGGATATGTAAGCTATGTATAGCTGCATGGGAATGTTACTGTTTTTATTTTATGTATATTTTTATGTTCGTGATGTCCTTGTGTGTGGTGTATAGTGAAGCCAAAGACAAATTTCCACTTGTGGACAATAAAGGAACTAAACTAAACTAAGGTTTTGCCCATTTTTTTCTCCTTTGACTTGAATCCTAGCAGCAACAACAAAAATAAATAAATAAATAAAAGTATTGTAGTAATTAAATATTAGCTTGGTCATCACCGTAATGATGCCCCAGAAGAATCCTGTCTGGAATCAGTTTCGGTATAATGCGCAAACGCTGCCTGAGAACTCATTGGCTTATGGGGCAGCGAGGCAACAACCTAATCTTTCCTAATCTTTGTTAATCAAGATGTTATTGGACCCGGGTCCAATATTCCTATAATGGCACATTATATGCTCAGAGAGCAGAGGTCGAGATATTTGCCACAACCATTTTCCCCAAGCAACATCGCTCAGTGGGGTGGAAGTAGCTCCACCGATATAGTGTCGCAAGGACCATCTTGTGAAGAGGGAATGTTAATGCAGAGATGCAGGGAGGCCTTATTGTACTGCATGTGTCTGTTCTGGTTTGACAGATTGATGGAATGGGTGTATAACGGCCCAGTGAGGGCTCTCAGGCAGAGATGAAGTTTAGGACTAGAGTGAGTTAGTCCCACAGGGGGTTCGGGTGTCCTGCTGAGATGGGATAAGCCCAGAACCACCAGCTTTTGTCACACAGCTTTTAAGCTAACAATACCTGCAGAATGGCTATCTTATTCACTAAAGATATTGACTTAGGCTTTCATATGATTCTAGGATGCATATTTCAAAGTCTTTCATGCACATTCCAAGATTGGTTGAATTTAGGTTCAAAGCTTGATAACACTTATAACTGATTCGTTTTCCTATTTCATACTTTACTATTCGTTAGGTTATTTCTCTACAAATGAAGGGCAACAACTATATTACTCTGAGCCATTAGATATATCTATAGCTAGAAGCTACTTTTCTCTCTTTACCATTTGTCTGACAAAGCATTTTTCTGCCAGTGTCTTAGCAAGTGACTTTGTTGCATCTGGATCACGCTATATGGCTTGCAACAATATTGTACCAATTTTTAAAACAGGATCACATTTTCTAAGAATCACACATCTGTCCTGATACCATGATGAAGAAATTTACATGTGAGAAAAAAAGTACTCCAAATCAGTCATGTGGTCCAAACGAAGCAACAGCAAAAACATTATTGAGGAAATGTCTATTAAGGAAATATCTTTTAGCATGGTAATTAGATTTATTTGTAAAAAATATACAGTATATACCTAGAATTAAGAAAAAAAATAGGATGTGTATTCATTGGGTGCAATGAATATATATTAATTGTACTTATTTAAAGTTATATTTAAACTTTTTAATGGTATAAATGGCACCAACATGAATACAAAGAGTAACTTATTTTTAAATGTCTTTAATCTAGATTTTTTACTTAGGTCATTGACTCTCATTCTAATTGTTTTCCTGGTGATTTTCTCGTTCTTGTAACCAACCAAAACCAGAAAATTTTATATGTTTGCATAGTGTTGACATTTAGTATGTCACCAGGGCAACAGGCTCACATTTGGTTAATATTTCCCCTGATTTTTTGGCTCTAGCTAAAGAGTGAACGAGCATAAGACAACTTCAATCCTCTCACACTAATGAGATATGATTAAAACGGCAGATAGACAGCAGTCCAACTGACATACACGAGGGGAAACACACAATCGCACACATTCCCACTAATGAGCTTTGATTTGTGGTACTGATAGTGTGTGTGGTTTCCTTAAAACGACTCTGTAAATCCTCAATAATGTAATTAAGCAAGATGGCCGATTTATGCATGCAGCAGGACAGAACCTGATCTTGCCTATTCTTTCCGCACTCTGAAAAGCCCCATGCCTGCCGCTGCTGTCCACTGTCTTGGGCTTGTGGGTGTACAATTCTTAATTTTCGAAAAAGATGACTCACCTGGCTGGTTTAGTATAATCATTAACAAAAGCAATGAGCTCTTGAACCTGTCATTCCAGGGAGCAAGACCAACATAGCTGCAGGACAACAGAAGCCAAGACAGCTCATTCTGTCCAAATAAACGCCAAGAACTTGGAGCTTGAGTGTTAAAAAGTTGCATTACAGAAAACCTAACATGTTGACAACTGAGGAAGTACCTAAACGGCACATTTACAGCTGGAAACCCCATTCTGTCGGAGGCACTCAACCCTGTATCGGTCACCCTGGGAGACGTGTCAACAGCAAGGCATGGCATCTTAGCTCCAGACCCCAGCTCTGGAGAAATATGGTGAGTCTCCATCACACCAGGGTTTTTCAAAATCCTTTAGCAAGGATAACATTAAGCTCGGCCTGTCAGTGGATCTCTGATCTCTGCTTTAGAAATGAAAAAGCACTTCGAATCGACTCCCTATTGAGAGGATGAGGAAGCAGGGACAAGAGAGAAGACGACAGCAGGCCTGAAATCGGAGCATCTGCCCAGGTTGAATGTTAATGAATGTTAAGCAGGTTAGCTGCTGGGGTGTGCAGCTTTATGCCCCCCCAGAGAGCCTCAGAAATTGGGCAAGGTGCTAACTCCTGCTATTGCTATTGTAGCAGTACCACTAACCATATTGATCTCTGATGCTAGCAGATTAGGGCATAAAGAAGGCTCTGTCCTGACTGTGGGGGTCCGTTTCTGATTCTCTGGTCTCCTTTCGGGGTCACAGGATCTGTGGAGCCCCTCTGACCCGCCGAGTCAACACGTACACACACCATTGGATCTGCAAAGGTGGCGAGGATGGACACTATTAAGCCAGATTGGTTGGACGGTTACATTCATGGCTCATCATAGCTGACCCGGCGAGCGGCAGTGGGCCCTTGGTTTTGTGTATGTGTTTTACACCGGTCTCCTCCATGCTGGGGATCAAGGCCTGCTCCTTTTGTAGAGTATTAATAGGGTTTCAGTTTGGAGACCTCATTGTTTTGGAGGAAAAAGGATTTCCTCGTGTTCGTGGTGCCTTTGTGATTTGATTGATGTTCTGTGTTGTAAGATTGTGTGTGGATGATGTTAGGGTGTGTGTTTGTTGTGTATTAGTTTGGTAATTCTCTTGTTGCGGACGTCTGTGTAATGTGGTTTGTCAGAGATTGCTCTATAAGCTTAGACAGTGATCTGCTTATATCAACTCAATTGTGACTGAATACTTTGCCTTTCTAGGCTAAATGACTATCAGTCATCAATCGGGAATTTGTTTGCGTTGTTTAGAGTGAAGTCTTAAAAATATTAATTGAGCGGTATAAAGTCTTCTGAAGAGACACAATCCCTTTACATGATGAACAATGGAGAGACAGAAATCTCTCAGGTGTCATTAAAAAATGTCTTCCTTTGTGTTTCGAAAAAACTTCTGTGACAAAAAGATGACAGAATTTTTATTTTTGAGTGAATCATCCCAAGGATAGTTGAAGAATCAATGGCAAAAGCTACGCAACAATTTCCTCTCTAGGGCAGGGTAAAAATATAGATTTTCTCGATAACGATTCTTAAAATGCTTTTATTCTATTTTCAGTGCCAGTGTGACAATGTGTTTGTACAGAGCTTTCCATCACTGCACATCACTGCCAATTCTCTGAACTGTGTTGTTTGCACACTGTTGTTAATTTTTAAAATTAATGTGCCCCAATTATGGTTTTTCAAATGTTCCTCATGCAGTGTGTAAAAGCTGTTTGTGAATGTAAACGTTCTACAAAGTTGTAAAGTTGAAAAGTCGAAAGTGCACGATAAATAAAGTTACTGTCTCCCAAAAGAAAGAATCGACTCTGAACCGCCTAAACGAGTCGTTTGAAATTCGAATCCCACTGCGTACCGGTTCTACGCCACTAAGATACATTTGCATAATGCCGGCGACGCATGTTGTACATTGTCTGCCCATGAACAACTTGTCCCGTCTTCAAACACGTCATTTTACTGATGACTGCTTTTCAAATCGTTGCTCTGGAAAGATGGGTCAGTATATTTGGACCAACTTGCTCCTTAGAATCACAAGTATGTAATTATGATTAATTATTGATGTACGTATATATTTTCTACCGGGTGTTCAAAATACGTAGTTTTGTGATGCTTTACAAAGTTTACAAATGTTACCTTTAGGGGTACAACAGCTTGCCACTTGGGCAGTACCCTTAAAGCGGTGGCTCTCAATCTTGGTCCTGGAGAGCCACTGCTCTGCACATTTTATATGTCTCCTTTATTTGACACACCCACTTCAGTTCATAGAGCTCTTTCCTAACGAGCTGATGATCTGAATCAGGTGTGTTAAATGAGGGAGACATACAAACTGTGCAGAGCAGTGGCTCCCCAGGACCAAGATTGAGAACCACTGCCTTAAAGGGACAACTTTTGACCTTATCTACCCCTTAAAGGTGCATTTGCGATGAAGTAATCCTTTAATCTATTTCTATGAACCTTTTAGGGGTAAATACAGTAGGTACATAGTTGTCCCTTTCATGCCACTACCGAGTGACAAGCTGTTGCACCCCTTTCTGACAAAATGACCAAAGCAGAGTGATCATCTTGTACCTGACTCATCGCTTCAATGTTCGTCCATAAACATTAATTAAATCTTATGTAAGACAGTTTGTAATAATTGGAAAATATGCAAGAAGTTTGCAGACAGATGCACAAGCCAAGGAAGGAGAAGAAAGGACCACTTTGCTTATTAGTGCATCAAGTAATTTGATCTTCCTTCTTCCACCTACTTGTTATTGACAAGCTTCACATTTCCTGTGTCCCTGGACTAGTGGAGGAGCATTTCCTGTCTGGCCTCAGTCTGTGATGCAATGGCAAACAGCCTCCCTGACAGGAAAAGCCCAAAGGACAGGGGCTCTGCTGCGCCCCTGAGACACGGAGGCAATGGAAAGCCCATCTGCCTGGAATTGGCCTAATCTCATCTGGTGAATTGGACGATGGGATACAAAAAACACCAATCATGCCTGTCCAATTTCATTACAGATCTCAATGATGAGAAGTTCAGAGAGGAGATCAGAATGGTGTGGGCTGACTCTCTCTGTACATACCTGCTCATGTTTGCTCGAGAGCTCTGATTGAAATAAGACCATCACCCTGTGACCTCTAAGACAGGGTGTTGGATTACGACATGAATATGACATCTAATCAAGGCTGTTGTTCAGCCAAGCTGCCCTGATGTTTAAACGCAGTCTGTGGTGTTGTGACTTTTAATGAGTCTTACGGTCTCATTAGGTCTGCTGGTCCCTTTGCCAATCTGTGAAGACTAAATATTACTGTTTTTATTCACAACAGCGCAAGCACTCCTTCTGGTTTCTATAGCCCTCTGTGTCTCCCAAATCTCTGTGCTCTTACTTTGGATCACCCATATGGATCCAAACATACTTGAATTCAGTTTCAAGGTGTAATTAGGGAGAAGGCAGGTTATTGTGCTCTAAGAGGCCGCAATTCAGCTACGGGATTTAGGCATTGTGCCGCGTCCAGCAGTCGATTAAGTGAAGAGCATAATTATCTGTAAGAGACATTAAATACTTTCTGCAGTAATGTTCAGAGGCAGGCAAAAGAGTCATTTCCAACTCTACGACACCGTTTGGATTCACAGCTCTGGTCACTTTGGTTTTAATAAGTAATTCAAATGCTATAAAGATATATGCTGATAATAGAAATATGTTACAGAGGTCATCACAGAGCCACAGCCACATATTTTTTTCGTTATTCATAATTATGTGTATCTATTTGAGCAAAGTTAACTGCTGTTTTTTTTAGGTTTTTTTTTTACAAATTGCTATCTATTATGTTTTCCGGGATAATTGTAGTAGTTTATCACATTAATTCATTTCTTTAATTCTATGACATAATTCTCTGCATAACTTTAAGATGGTCATTTTCCCCCTGTATGACAGACTTTATTTATATTTTAATTATTTGTTTAGTAAATTTTCTGTCACATGACATTCAAATCTGTAAATCTATTTAACAGTGTACTTAATATTTGTTTGTGTTAGTTTACTGTCATATTATTCTTTTTTATCGGATCAGTAATAAATGTTTGATAATTTTTAAGACTGTGATTGTAAAGTCCCAAAGTTTTTTTTATATTCTGCAGAATATTTGCAGAATAGGACAAATTATATATTTTATTATTATACTTTTATTTAATTTTCGGCTACATTTTACGTCTTCAACCTATTTTTCTATATAATTATGAATAAGTCCAAAATAATTGGATTGAATCGTGAACTAATTTCAGATTTCACAATGCACCGCTTTCAAAAGGGGAAAAAGATGGAAAAAATTCATCAAAATGTTGTTGGATAAAAATTTGCATCTTTACTAATAATATGTATCCTAAAGCTTCAATGGAACTAGCCTTGTTAAAATCTGTGTGGTGGTCAGGTGCGCAGGCCACAGGCTTTGAATGTGGCTCTTTCATATAAAAAAAGATCCTAAACAAAACTTTAAAACGGTCCCATCCTGAAGCTTTTAGAGAACAATGCCGCAACCTGTCAATAGTGATTTTCCTAATGCTCCTCAATGGACAGGTTCAAGCAGGCGTTCAATATTCTTCCTTTGGTCCCACCCACAGGTGGGCTGGTGGCTTCAGATTGCACAATTCCCTGCCCCAGTGTGCGACCACTGTGAAAGAGAGGAAAAACCACCAGGCTGCCAGGCTGAAGCTGACTCAGAAGCTCTGGCATCTGCCACAGTAAGACTGATGACCTTAGAGGAGCGAGATACGTGACCTCAGTGAACAGGGACAGGGATAGACAGAGGGATGGTGATGGATGAGTCTCTGCTGGAGCCCTGGGCCACAGGTCAGATAGATGAGAGTGTCCAAGAGTGAGTGAAAAGAAAAAGAGAGCTGAGCGATGGAGCTGAGACCCCCACAGGCTAGTTGTATCGCAGCTAAAGGCTAAGATAGCTGATGAGAGCTTGATGAACTCTTCAGAAAGGCTGGTGCAGTGGTGGGTATTCACCATTAAGATGCATCACAGCTCTCAGGCAAAGACAGAGGTTCAATTGACATTCTGAGAAGGAGGTCTATGAATCAGTGTGTGCGTGTGTGTGCGTGCGTGTGTGTGTGTTCATGTTAATTTAGCCAGTGTCTGCACAAACTCTGAGGAGATTAAGAAACATTGAAGATCATTTCGGCAAATGAGTCCCAACATCTTCATCTTTTTTTTCTTCTACGTTTTTAATGCTTGCCTGTGTAAAACAAGGCACAATGCTAGGGTGTTGTAGATGGTTGTCAGGGTGTTGCTAAGCAAGGTGTTAAGAAACATTGAAGGAGATTAAGAAACATTGAAGATCATTTCGGCAAATGAGTCCCAACATCTTCATCTTTTTTTTTTTCTACGTTTTTAATGCTTGCCTGTGTAAAACAAGGCACAATGCTAGGGTGTTGTAGATGGTTGTCAGGGTGTTGCTAAGCAAGGTGTTTGGATGGGTTTTTAGCATGTTGCTACAGTACGCTTCCGCTAGGATATTCTGGGTGGATGTTCCTTGCTGGCCCAATAGAGCCAATGCATTTTTCTATCATTTCATTGTCAGACAGGTGGGAATCAAAAGTCTGATCACTAAAACACAGGTTTTCAAACTTCCGCATGGGTTCGCAAGAGGGTGTTAGAGGGTCCGTGTAGAATTTGAGAAAATTTAAAAAAAGATTTTTCAGTATGTTTTTTTAGGCCTGAAAAAAGTTAAACTGTCAACTTAAGATTATCATTTATTATGTTTAACTGTATTTTTTAAACAACAAATACATTTGTTTATATATATATATACATATATAAATGGCACCTGAAAGTAAAAGCCACAAGGCTTGATTTAGAATTTATGTCCATAGCACAAATGATGCAGGATGAGTTATGCCCTACCATTCAGAACAACACCATAACCCAAAGTATAATTAATAATAGAACCATGTTTGTCTCAGCAAACATACCTAATTACAGTCAATATCAGTCTTATCTAAACCTGTTTTCTGTCCCCCAGGAACCATCATATTACTTCTGCTTTGTGAGACAAGCCGTCCTGTGGAACAGAGGACAGCATCATACGGTGAGTACTTGTGTCAGAACACCAGTAGACACAAGACTGACACGAGTAATTACACTTCATCAAAGCATAATTCCAATTGATTTAGCATGCCGCACATTGACATAATCAAATAAGGCATGACTAATATTCAAATCTGACTCTTATAAACAAACACTATCGCTTGGAAACACATATGCACTGTTGGCCTGTGCCCATCCACCTCACTGTCTCCGTCTTTAAGAGGCCAGAGACTGTGAATGTGCCACAGGCAACAGAGAGGTTTCCATGGGGACAGCGAGTTGTGTGGGTTGGCTTCCTGTCTTGGCCTCTGGTTAAACAAACAAGAAAAAAAAGAGACAAAGATCCACCAGCCTCTTACTGACTAATTTACATCTTTAAATTGTACCGGTACACACAATCAGCCAAAGCTCACAAGTATGAATAAACACTTGTGCTTTGCTAAACACAAAAACGCACACCCACGCTGACACACACACATTTTCTGCCCTCTGGATCACCTCGGTATATGCTATAAAACACTGGGCGCATCTCCGTATTCAAACCCTCTGAACTTTACGGGGCCGTCCCAGTCCAAACATCTTTTGAGAACAAGAGACGATTAACCCACCCATTGGCTTCATACCTCACGGTCTCCATGGACATTGTCGCCACTGAGACGACATCACGAGTGCCGTCAGCGCCCTGAATACTGTACGCCCAAACGATGACACATGCACAGGTGGGCAAACACACTCATGGGCCCGCCTCGCTCCGCAGACAAACACTGCTGTTTACACTGTGATTTATGCTTTGGTTTGGGTTGCATTCTGTTCGGCATGACGTCCTTTTTTAACGGCGAGTGGAGCTAGACTTTCATTTTTGTGTTCATAAGAAAGAGGGTAGCCACAGGAAGGCAAGCGACATTCAAACTATACAGGCATCCGATGGGGAGACAATGGCATGTCTGTGTTAGCACTCAATAAGAAGCTAAATTCTGACTCTGGATCAGTGAAACATTGTTTGGAGTCGAAAGTTGATTTGTGACTTTCTTTATATTCAAATACTTTTACTATTTCAGCTTAATAAGTAAAAAATAATGCCTTGTAGCATTTAAACATTTCATTTGTTTTATTTTGTATTTATTTAGACAAAATATTATAGAATTCAGGCATAACATGACATTAAGTATTGGCTTAATCTGTATTGACCAGAATTTTAATAGAGGTGCATCTCTAAATTGATGACTTTGGAAAGAGAAGAGTTAGAATAATGTTAGTATATGTGTAGTGCAGGGACTAGAGTTCAACTTCTGACCTAATAATAAACACTAAAAGTTTGGGTTTGGTAAGACTTTTTAAATGTTTTTTTTTTTTAAACAAGTCTCTTATGCTTACCAAGGCTGTATTTATTTAATAATAAAATAGATTTAATATTTGCTCCTCAAGAAACATTTCTTACTATTATCAATATTGAAAACAGTTGCTGGTTAATATGTTTGTGGAAACCGTGATACACTTTACATCAGGATTCTTTGATGAATAGAAAGTTAAAAAGAACAGCATTTATTTGAAATAGAAATCTTTTGTAACACTGTAAATGTCTCGACTGTCTCGTTCAATCCGTTTAATGCATCCCTGCTTCATAATCATTAAAATCTAATTGACCACAAACCTTTGAACAGTAGCTTTGAATAATTAAAGCTAAATTGCAATTCACAGCCAGTGATCAACACGAGCATTTGACATTTGATATTTCGATAATAAATCCGGAAAAAGACATATAAGTTCAGTGTCAACATGAGGGTGAGTATGACATCATTTTTATTTTACATGCAAATGCTATGCGGAAGGTGCGACTTGATTGGACTCACTAAATGTAGTCATATCCATATCATATAGGCCTATATCCTTCATGAACATTCACGGTTGCTTGCTCTGTATTCTGCGGGATGGGGAAAGCAGTTTTGGACAGGGCAAAAAGTTTAAAAGAGAAGGTGAAGGGGTGAAGAGAAATAGAGGAGATTGAAAAAGTAGCCTCATTGTCTGCCGGGACAGAAAGTAGAAAGTTGCTCAGAATGCTAAGCTGCATCTGAGCCTGGCTTCTGACACGAGCGGCTAATCAGATTTGGTCCTCCCAATCCTAGAGACTCCACAATGCTTCCCACTGTCATCTCTTCCCCTCCTCTCCTCCACTCCTCTCTTCCTCATCCCCCCGTCCCAGAGCAAAGCTAATTACGGCGCAGGCAGAAACACAAATCTGGTTGATTGAAAAAGTCACTCTTTTTCAGCAGGGTTTAACCTTGTTAGTGCTAAGCCTGGCTTTCTTAGACGTCAGGCCTTTTTGAGAGGAATCCTCTGTTCCCCTGCAGACAGAGGCACAGAGACACACTTCTGTTTGGCCCCCAATCGCCATGCCCTGCCCCCCCGGCAGAGGGTTCACACAGAGGCAGTGCTATTAAGCGTGCGTGTGTGTGTGTGTGTGTGTGCACATGTGTTTGTGAAGGGACTGAGGAGTGTATGCAGGCCTCTTCTTGGTGCGGGCCATCTGGGACTCTGGTTTACAGACTCCCTACATTCACGAGCGTGCGCTTGCCCATCTCCGTCAGAAGGCCGTCCGGCATGAACACACAAGGTTAATGACATTAGTACAGGCGGTTGTGCATGTGTGTGTCGCAGTGCAGGCCGCCTGACGCCAGGGGGTCATGTAATTTCCTGTAGGCCTCTGAAGAGCCCACACACTGGGGCAGAGGACCCTCAGGCCCGACATGGGGCTACAAACACCATTACAAGGTCAAAGACACTCAGCGTTTAATATACAATGCCACTTTCAGAGGGCTCCAAACAGCTTCTGCAAGTAAACGCTTCGCTTATATGAACGTTGGCGTCGGAGCTGATGCACATCAACCTGACAGTTTGTTTTGGGGATGTTGAGGGATGTGTGCAAGTCTAATAAGGCCCAATTTTTAAATGAGTAAAACTCACCGACACCTACACAATATTAGAGTGTGCCCAAGTCAAAAAAAGCCAAAAGTTCACTAGATATGCATGGCTTCAATGTAACTGCATTTCTGTTCAGTTTATCATGCCAAGGCAAATTCACACACAACTTACACCTCATTTCAACAAGCCGCACAGTTTAGTACAGTGTGAGACGAGTTACATGCAAAAGTTTAATGCTTTGGGAAAACAATTGTAAGTATGGGTTCCATTATTAATCAGAATAAAAGGCTTAGCGTGATTATCAAATAATAAAATGTTCAGCATGAAGTTCATTTGGACGCGTACATCTCATGATCCGGTGTCTTTAGTGTCTCGGTTAACACTAAATCTTGCTCCACACAAACTCATTTTTGCATCTGCTCTGAGTTTGGGTTGCTTATAACATTTGGGAATGCAACGTGCAAAAATAAAAATATTATTTCTTATTTGGTTTAATATTTTTATTTTTAGTAATAATAAAATAAATGTATTTATTTATTATTAATAACTACAACAAATATAACAACAAAAATTATTATAATAGTCTTAAATACTTGTTTTTATTTTACAGTGAAATATAACAATAGTAATATTTCTTATTTTGCTTATTATTTTATTTAGGAATAATAGAATACAATGCATTATTATTATTATTGTTATTATAGTCATATTTATATTTAATCACAACATTTTGGGCTAATATTTATATAAAAAAAACAATTAGATTTTTTTTTTAAATCATTTGTGCTGTTAGTGCAATTATAGGCTTTAAGTTATCCTAAACATAAAGGTTTCACTAACCTCAACAACATTTTAAAAAAAGTTAATGACATAGGGATCCTTTTTAGGCATTTAAAACAGATGTGTTGGGACAGGAGGACAGAAAGAGAGATCGAATGAATGAAAGAATGATTGAAGGGAGATAAAAGGTGAGGAATATCTGTTTGTATCAGAGGAGAGGCTTCATTAGTGTCAGAGAGAGAGTGTAAAATGGTTTTGGGTCACTGCTCTGAGCTCCAATAACGCAGGGAACAGGGAGCACATGTCCCCTTTGATAACATTGTCAGCTCAGACATAGAATGTTTACTCAGCAATTTACTGTCAGTCAATTCAAAAGGGATAAAGACATCAAGACGTGTGTGTATTTGTGCTTGCTAACATTGCCCTGTGGCACTGGACAGGTTAAAACTTGCTCTCTGACAGGTTATAAGCAGTGTGGCACCCATCTGGCTTCACAAAGCAAAGAGAAAAAATGTGCAGGCACACACACAAACACAGAGAACTGCCATAATTACCAAGATACTATTCAAATTCCTGTAAGAATTTACGTTATGTGTTTGTTATGTAAAAAAAACAAAAAAAAAACAGGCTGTGAATTAGCAATGCAGCTATGTTTGCAAGCTGGTCAAAGGACAAGTTAGTTAACCCTTCTAAATATCAATAATGACAAACTGCTGCATCTTGCTTTCTTTCCCCCCCCAAATTCAGTAACTTAATTGCGGGAAAGGCCATGCTAGCCCTGCAGAAAGAATGCTAAATGTATGTGAATATCATGAATGAATATCACAGGCAATATTGAATAATTGTTTCAATGAGTCAACACTAGGGGGCACTGCAGAGAGGTACTTATTCAAAGTAAGGCTGAACCAATGCAGTAACTTTCCAAATGTTATTTTATAAATGAATACAATGTACATAAACTTTTTTGTTGCCTTTTTTTTTTTTTTTTTTTTTTTTTTAGGCTATCAAGCGTGAGAATGGCCCTCCACTCTTGTGTTCTCGCTTTCATGCTCATTTGGAGGCCTGTCCTGTCAATTTTAGAACCCCACATTTCCTAAACGTGCACTCCAGACCAGGCCCTAATCGTTTGGGGCAAAAACAACAACAGCAGAGCCTGAGTGCTCCACAACCTCAAATATGCCCAGGTTAGTACTGCTATACAGTCCTTTTACTGATATTTTTTTCATCCCGGTTAACTGCCATCACTTAAATGCAGGCAAACTTTAACAAAGTACCCTTGCTACAATTCAAATGGACATTGACACACATGATATATCTGTTATCATTCTGTTATTTGGCATGTTTTAATTACCATTATCGGACGATACTGAATGTTTAATTGTGCATGCTGGTTTCACCATTTAGATTATTTTGCCATCATCAGTATCTAAACGCTTATTTCTTTAGCCAATCTCAAAATGAACATTTTCATATTGTACATTATAATGTTGTGATGCCTAAATTTGCCTAAATTCACAATTTTAGTTTGTATTGCTTTATTAATTTTTCCTTTTATTTAGACAAAATTGTGTAAAAATGTAATATTGGCTATTTATCTATTTTTGGCCATAATATGAAAATAATTATTGACTTATCATTATTATAATTTTAATATCGCTTAACCCCTTATTTATATTAATCGTATTGAAAAACAGCAATTGTCATTCAGTATTGAAATGATCTTCCTTATCAAAAAACACTCATAACCCAACCATGCTTTGTCATTTTTGCTCAAATTAAACAAAATGGTCTGAAATTTAAAGTACGAATCTAAATAAATGTCATGTATCCAATAAGCACATATTTTGTGTGTTTACTATGGCGCCGCCCTCCTGGTGGCTTGATACTTCCATTAGGCCTCTGCTGTGGTGTGAAGGTATTTGGGCAGGATTGGTCATTAACGTGCATCAGGACCCTGTCTTTCAGAGCGAGCTTGGGAGTCAACAGAGACGGGAGCATTACTCTACATCACAGGCCAAAACTAATTATACAGCCATATGGTGCTCAGAGACTCTAACAATCAACCCCGACCTGCCTTTAGCTCCCCAAGGAGAGAGTAGGGGGGCGAGGCCACAACAGTGCGATATGACACATGTCGTTCACACACATACATTGTGTATGTGTGTGTGTGTGTGTGAGACTGTGACAGATGGACTAGGCAATGGTATTGTAAGAACAGCAGTGCAGCTATGTGCTTTCCAGCCTCTCTCTCACTTTTTCTCTTTCCCCTCACTCAATCCTTTTCTCTCGCTGTTCTGTCCTCTGACTCCTCAGTGACACAGACTGAGTGGAACAAGAGCGTATTGTGTAGGGGCCTCTGGTCTGCTTCAACACAGGCCCCTGCTGGGGGGACTCACACCATACTGGCCTGGGGGACAACATACGATAAGGGACAAGAGCCAGAGACGGTTGGTTTATTAGTGAATGTTTTTCCCGTTAATTCCATGGCCAAAAAAAAAAAACACAAATCTCCACAGCATGAAGCTTTCAACCTGGCAGGGATGTTCAGCATTCAAAGTTTGGTTGCGATTTTGTTTTTCTTCAATTAAGAATCAATTCCTATATTTGAATTGAAATTTAGACACTTTTATATTTATATTAACAGATTTTAACTTTTTAATCATTTATCTTAACAAACCTTGCAGAAATTTTTACAAAAAACAAAAAGGTTTATAGGCGATAGATAGAAGGATATACAGACAGACAGACGGATGGATGGATGGATGGATGGATAGATAGATAGATAGATAGAGACAGACAGGCAATGATAGACAGACAGACAGACAGACAGACAGACAGACAGACAGACAGACATACAGACATACAGATAGATAGATAGAGACAGACAGGCAATTATAGATAGACAGACAGACAGACAGACAGACAAACAGATAGATAGATAGATAGATAGATAGATAGATAGATAGATAGATAGATAGATAGAGACAGACAGACAGGCAATGATAGACAGACAGACAGACAGACAGACAGACAGAGAGACAGATAGATAGATAGATAGATAGATAGATAGATAGATAGATAGATAGATAGATAGATAGATAGATAGAGACAGACAGGCAGACAGACAGACAGAGAGACAGACAGACAGATAGATAGATAGATAGATAGATAGATAGATAGATAGAGACAGACTTTTTTATTGCACATATTCAATAAGCTCAGATAGAGAGACAGACTTTTTTAAAAAGGTTTATAGGCGATAGATAGAAGGATATACAGACAGACAGACGGATGGATGGATGGATGGATGGATAGATAGATAGATAGAGACAGACAGGCAATGATAGATAGACAGACAGACAGACAGACATACAGATAGATAGATAGATAGAGACAGACAGACAGGCAATGATAGATAGACAGACAGACAGACAGACAGACAGACAGACAGACAGACAGACAAACAGATAGATAGATAGATAGATAGATAGATAGATAGATAGATAGATACAGACAGGCAATGATAGATAGACAGACAGACAGACAGACAGACAGACAGACAGACAGAGAGACAGATAGATAGATAGATAGATAGATAGATAGATAGATAGATAGATAGATAGATAGATAGATAGATAGATAGATAGATAGATAGATAGATAGATAGATAGATAGATAGATAGAGACAGACAGGCAATGATAGATAGACAGACAGACAGACAGACAGACAGAGAGACAGACAGATAGATAGATAGATAGATAGATAGATAGATAGATAGATAGATAGATAGATAGATAGATAGAGACAGACTTTTTTATTGCACATATTCAATAAGCTCAGATAGAGAGACAGACTTTTTTATTGCACATATTCAATAAGCTCAGTGGATATGGGGCCCACCCAAAACTATTTAGTCCCAAACTCTGTGAATTTTAGGCACAACCTTTGTAACAACAAGACATCTTCACCAAAACATATTTTTTTCATTGTGATTCCATCAGCAAGAGAAAGCCCAGAAAGGAATACTGCAACATAACAGTCTGTGAAAATTTCTCCCAGCAGGCATCAGCATCAAGGGCCATCGAAGAAAGAGTGGGGCTTGGCTCATTTGTTTAGTTTGCTGTCATTGCATTCATAATTAGCTATATGGGGTTTCTAATCCCAATTATGAGAATGAGTTCCTTCATATAGTGGTCGCAAGTGGTAATTATCATATCTTAGAGTCACTCTGCATTCTGAGCTGGGAACTGGACAGCTGCTCCTGCAGAGGGGCAGAGTTTTCGAGAGGAAGGGGGGTGTCCGGGGCCCTTGTTAGGAACCAGGGGCCCGCAACAGGCAAAAGACTGTTTGCTCTGAGGCTCAGTGGAGTAGGGCAGCATCAGCTATTGGGCTGGGTGGCCTTTGCCTCTCTCCTCTCCTTTTTAGCTGTAAATGATGATGAATACGCTTTCCGCCTGACCCTCATGCAGGACCCCCATGTTAATTATTCAGGACCTCTTTTTGTGTGTGCCCCGAACAATGCCTGTCATTAAGCCTGTGTGTATGTGTGTGTGTGTGTGTGTATGTGAGTGTGTGTTTGAGTGTGTCGTGTTCATCTCTACATGAGACAGCTGCAGTCTGGGTGCCCTGTGCTATGCTATGGTTTGCTTAGTGAAGGATTTCTGCTCTTGTGCATTAGTGATGCACTTTCTCATTTGCATTTTTGAGTAAAGATTCCCCAAACCTCACTATCCAGTGCAACAATAACCTTGACCCAGATGTAATCTCTCCTTTGGAGAGGGATGTCCAATCCTGCCCCAAAGGGACAACCATCCTGCAGAGTTGAACCTCCCTGTCCTGAACCTCTGCTACCCCTTAGAGATGGGTTGACCTTATACTCACGTTCATTTCAACCTCTTCTTTCCCCAGATGTCAGGAGGCACCAACACATGGATAATTCCAGAAGGAATACATCCAATGTGTTTCTGCCCCATGGACCCAGATCCCCTACTTCTCCAGCACCCCCAGCAAGTCCTTCTCTGACTCTTAGGTTTATTGATGAACCTCAGAGATCCCAAACCCCCAATACACACTTCCAGCTGACAGATGAGGAAGAAGATGCATGCTCTGCTCCACAAGATCTGAATCAAGGGCACCCTGAAATGGCTAAAGAAGAGACAATGACACCAACGACCCCAATATCCACCCCGACAACCCCCAGCATTACAGCCACCCCAACAACTCCAGGCACCCAAAGAACCCCAAGTACCCCAATTACTCCAGGCACCCAAAGAACCCCAAGTACCCCAATTACTCCAGGCACCCAAAGAACCCCAAGTACCCCAATTACTCCAGGCACCCCAACATCTTCTATGACCCCAAATTCTCTTTCTGATTTCAGCCGCCCTTCATCCAGCCAGTTCAGCCGTAGCACAGACCTGAACAGTAGCTTCTCAGAGGCCTTGTCAGGTATCTGTTCTCCTTATACTGACTTAAAAATGTAAATGGTGCAATGAAACCTAATTGACTTATCTCTGCACTCTCTTTATGTTAACAGTGAACTTCAGTGTTGACCATTATGCTGATAATAGCACCGATGACGAAGATAATCATGCTTATGACCTCAACCAGAATAATGATTATCAAAAGGGCTGCTCTACTTCTCTCCCCGAGCTTCACTTCAGCTCTGCTGGAAGTTGCAGCCAAGCCAACTCACGAATGGAAGTCCTTCAAGCACGTCTCTCCAGATCTCTCAAGTCCTACAAACAAGAAACACCTTCCACTTGCTTGCCAGACACTCCAATTTACATCTCTAAAACTCCTAAATCACGGCAAACCTCAGCCGCCCAATGGTCCACAGATGAAAGCCTGCATGGACGCCTTGGATCCAGCCAGTCTGACCTGAGCATTCAGTCTCAAAAGCCTGATTGCTCAGCAGCAGATAGTCAGTCAGAATGGAACCTTTGGCCTGTGCTTCCTCCCATTATGCCTCAGGAAGATGAACTGCAAGGTGAGTTTTAATGGGATATAAACATTATTGTTCTAAATATAAGCTATAAACTATAATGACTATAATATAAACTATAATGACTACTTCATAATAACAAGAAGCACTTCAGAAAATTGTCATCTATTAAGAATTGTGTAAAACTTAATATTGTGCTTTGATGTTTGGCAAATTTTTACTGGAAAAGTTTTTTTTTTTTTGCACTATAATGCATATTGCCCTTTTTAGATATGAATTAAGGTTAGTCTGTTAATGAACATGACTCAATGTTTGTTATTCTTCTGAGGATATTTTCAGAGATTACATTCCTGAAAGAATGGCCAAATCTGATCTCATACACACACACACACACACCTACAAGCACTGTGTGCTTTATTAGACTGACTCTTGTGTATTCATGCACACACGCTGGGGGTCAGTTGGGCCAAATAGAATTGAACATTCACCGTACCTCAAACATGAAAGAGAACAAAAGAAAATCAAAGTCCTACATCATGACCATGAGCTTCAGCTTTCTCGACAGAGGGACTAAGTCATAAATATGGCAAGGAGCTTTTCTCTTCTCTTCTTTACTGAAAGCAGAGGGAAAGCGAGGGGGTTCTTTTGATAGGGAATCAGGCTGGTACCGTTTGATTCCCCAGTTCAAAGCGGCCAAGGCCTTTACAATGGGGGATGTTGTGGGGGATGAGGGAGGGTGGCGGTGATGCCGGCTGCGGCGTGTTCTTCCCTCTTAGCTTCAGCCTCCCGCGTTCCCTTTTTCTTCCTCTTTTCTCTCTCTATTCTCTCCGCTCCCTGAAAAGCAGACGTGTGGAGCGGCGGTCATAAATCCAAGCTGACCGCCGCCTCTCTGACGGGTGAACAGTGAGTGAGCCTCAGCTACAATGCGTATCTCTAAGATGCCCTCCATGCGCTAATTTACCGTCCAGTCAGGAAAAAGAGCCAGGCCACTGACATCTGACTCAAACGGAGGGTTCATGAAAGAGAGCAAACAATTCAGAATTTGCAGAGCGGTTTCTTCGTCTTTTCTCTCTTTTTTTTCAGAGTAATTATAAAGTGACAATCTGTGCCTTGTTTACTAATTCATGCGGCCAGACAGATAAATATATCACTGATATGATAGTGAAGCTGTGGTTTAGTGGGAAATTAAATCCAACAGAATGACAGAAAATTACACTTGGGTGGGGTGGGGGTATCAGTGACCTTTTCCTAACTTGTGTGTGTGGTTGTGTGTACAACACTATAGGCTAGTCTAGGGTAGTCTAGTATTTTGGAAAAAAACGCCCTGCTGTCACCCCCCATGCTATGGTCCAGCAGTCAGTGGCCAACCCTACAGCGACCTCTTTCAGTCCCATCTCAAGAGTGTAACTGTCCTTGACAATGAGCGGGACCCCCAGGCCTCACTGAGACCCCCCTACCACACACACACTGCCTGGCCCTGACACTCTCCATTTGGCCAGAGAGGGAAAGTAAAAAAAAAAAAGTTGAGACACATATGGATTTCACACTAACTAAAGAGAATTTGCCACTAAACATTCTGACTCAACCATGATTTAAACATACACACACAACCTTTATGATCAGGCAAATACACATTTTTATAACACCTTCCACCGAGGTGTCAGAAATGTCCTTCAATTTCTGCTAAATTTATTTTGAAATAATTGTCTACTTTCAAATGTTGACTTGAATGAGGATGAAACTTCTTTTACATCTGATTTCTGATTGGTTAGCAAGTAGTGTCACACAAAGCCTTGGGGTCATATGGAGTGTAACAAGGTCAAAGCTAAAATACAATAGGCTACTTTTATTCTGCATGGATGCATTAAATTGATCAAAATTGACAACTGACATTTAAAGACACTTATATAAATAAATGCAGGCTTTGTCGGCATAAGAGACTTTTTTCATAAAAAAAAAACACTTAACATCAAACTTTTGAAGTTTAGTGTATATCTAATCTAACATTTACTGTATAACATTCTCGCAATTGTGACTTTCTATTACACAATGAGGTATAATGTTTATTCTAAACTTTCTTACAAATATATATATTTTTTTTACTGTGAGGCGGAAAGGAAGCTTCCATACATATTAGCCACATAATGAACAACATTCACCCTTGAGACAGCGAATAAAGATATTAGACAGCTATAAGCCACTAAACACTTAAGTAGGTCTTTCATGGAATAGTACTGTAGGTAATTGATAGATAACAGAATAAAAAAAAAAAAAAGAAAAGAAATTCACAATGGGGCATTTTTGCAACAACATTTTGATTACCAGGGCATTTCTATCACCTTTCAGTGGCATTTTACACCAAGATTTGTGATGCTGCCTTCATCCAACCTACAGGCTGGTGTACACAAAATCCATACGCACTCCCTTACATTCACATATACCATCTCAAGAAGCTCTTGGCTGAAGATGACGGCAAGCTTGACAGCACCAATATGCTTTGAAGTGTTGAGTCAAGTCCCTCCATTGTGTGTGTGAGTGGTAAGCCGAGGCCTGCCTACAATAGCCGTGTGTCTGTGCAAGTGAATATGGAAGCCTTGGTTGAAAGGCCTTGTTTGTCTATATATATAGAGAGAGAGAGACGCAATATACTGCGCAAACATCTCTCCATAGACTCTTTTTAGGAATTTGCATTTTAGCGCAATGAACGTTTTGACGTATTTCCTCGTATAAACAGACTGTATCTGTGTTTATCACGTAAGCTATAGGCTAAAAGTCATTACCAGGAATTGAGACAGTGCTGCAGGGTAGGGTGTGATGCTGGTTGTTGTTTAGCTCACGGAGGTCCTTGCTGATGTTCATTCAGCCCGGGGCAATAATAAAACCGTAAGCTGGTATGACAGCTGAGGAAATAGGTCAGAAAGGTTCATTGCGATAAAATGCAAATTCCTGAAAAGAGTCTATAGAGAGATGTTTACACAGTATATTGCGTTTCTATTTACACACATCATGTGTTTGGCCCGTTTCAGGGCAGTGTATAATGGAAGGGACCCCTGACTCCCAGTCCAACGGGTCCCAGTCTGATATCTTTGCTGAGCTGGATGATCTGGCCCCTCGCTCAAGTTCCTGTGTGTCCCCAGACCACCCACCCGGGAGTCAAACTGACCGATCCTCACCTACCACAGGTAATATTGGACACAATCCAAACAGAGGCATTGTCATTCTACTATGCAAATATAAGTGATTGAATATGGCCTGGAATATTTACTTTGTATTAAGTTTTTTTCTTCTATCCAATTTATTCCTGTGATGCAAAGCTGAATTTTTAGCAGCTCTTACTACAGTATTCAGTGTCATGTGATCCTTCAGAAATCAATCTAATATGTTTGTGGAAACCTTGATTTTTTTTAAAAATGTTTCTTAATAGAAAATTATAGCATTTATTTGAAATCTAAATATTTTGTAACATTATAAATGTCGCTAAAGTATTAATTTCTTTTAAAAAATCGTACCGATTCTAATCATTTGAATGGTAGTGTATATAGTATATATATACAGTAATGTTTTTTTTTTTATATATATTTCTGGTAGCACTTTTAAATCCCCAACCCTAAATATGAGCTATAATAATGTTGATGCTTCCCATTAAACATAGACTCTCCATAATGACAAATTTCATCCATTGACTTTTCTGTAACACACAGAAGTGGCTCAATATTTAAAAGTTGTTCCAAGTAATCAGATTATTGTCCATGCTAATTGTGAACGAGGGGGATGGCACAGATAAGCATGTTTGTTTTAAAGCTTGCATACTGGTTTGACATGCCATATTCATTTACTCTCTGTTTCAACAGAAAAGGCCAAAAATAAGTACAGTCAGGTGTGCAAAAACTCAAATATTGTAACGTCCAAGAGATAAAATTGAATTGCTGCTGTGTAAACTTCATTTACCAGTGTGCTAACCTGCCTAAGCATTGCCTCACGTTGCCTTGCAGACATTTTTTCAAATCTGTTTGTTTTTGTCAGAAACTTAAGTCTTTACTCTGCCCTGAGGATTATTGCTGTGTGTGTATGTGTACCTGGTATTTCCAACAATTTGGGGACCAAATGTCCCCACAAGGATAGTAATACCAGTCATTTTTGACCTTGTGGACATTTATTTGGTCCCAATGAGTAAAACAGCTTAAAAATCATATCAAAATTTATTGAAAATGGAAAATGTTTTTTCCTGTGGTGGGTAGGTTTAAGGGATTGAAAATACAGTTTTACAGTATAAAACTGTTGGGGGGTGGGGGTGGGGGGGAGTCAGCACCTTGTCCTGACTCTTGACAAGGTGTTAAGTGTTTCCGGGTGTCTGTGACCTGACCCTCTCACCTTTCTAGCTCCCTCTTTACGACTGACATGTGTTTGTAATGCACAATGTTCAGCTGCATAGACACCAGCCGATGTAATGCATGTCATTATGTACAAATTCATATGGACTAATTGTCAGTAGTTTTTTCCTCTTTAGAAATGTTTTACGGCAAACTGGCCATTTCAAGGATTTCTTAAAGATGGCATAAAGACAGTTTCAATCTGGGTGGCAGTGTTAGACCAGGTTTCAAAACTAGGCTTTGATATCTTAAAGAGTTTTTTGAGTCTTTTCTTCAGTAAAGATGAAGAGGTGTTATATGCATTAGTGAACAAACTTTACACAGGCTGACCTATAGTAATCGAAAATCTCAAATGAGATGTCTCTGATATCTCAGTTTAGTTCCTCCTAGACTCCAATCAGATGAATTATTTTGTTTAATACACCCATTTATTAGATTTTTTATCCTTGTAAAAGTGAGTAATCTCATGTGTCTTAGAAAACTAGCACAGTCAAACCAAAAATTATTCAGACAACAGATATCATTTTTGATATTGTTTTACTAGTGGGTGCAGGACACTATAGTTCATTTATGTATGTGGAGAAAGCAAAATAAAGTTAACTGACATATTATACCCAAAATTCTTACAGTGGACTACCTGTAAAATGTATACAAATTTGGGACCAAAAATTATTAAGACACTTTGACCTGCGCCAGTGTTTATAAGATGCAAAGAGTCGCTGACACGAGAGACTGGTTTAGTCAAGCCTTTACTGGCAGACGAGGAAAAACAACTCACACACACAACCCCACGCGCATGCGCTGCCAGGGTCAGAGCATTAACGCTCAACGCCACAGAACACGTCACGATCCATGTTACACTCCACATACTGGCGCTGACCATGTTTTGCTTAAGTGTTCTTTAATGGCTAATGTGACCTTTTTACACCATAGACTGAACAAAATTAAGCATTGCTTGGTAATTTGTTGACCTGAATTGGTATTATCTAATTATGCACTTACATTTAACAGCTGACAGCTATTCAACTTAATTCATTTGTGAGACAGTCTAAAAGAAGGATGGCCGAAACCATCAGGTTGGAAACCAACCGTCAGAATGGCAGTTCTTGTCATATTTTATTACCATTTTCTAAACTATAGCGAATAAACTGTGATAATGTGAGAAATGTTGGTAAATTTTGGTTCGACTGGTGTTCCCACCAAGCTTAAGTAGCGTAACCAGCAAGACGTCTATGGTTTTTGCATGTTTTTTCTCTAAAGGAGTTGTAGGAGAAACATCTAAGACAAAAACTGATACTAAAATAAGACATAACTGAGAGGTCCTCAGAGAAGTACTTTTTTCATCTGGGGACATTAAAAAAAATGGGGTGATTGTTACACATTATCCCTCAATCAGTATCTTTTTCATCACATTTGTATGTCTCCCCATCTTTTGTCTGTGTTTACAAATGGAGGCGTAACTCCGAAAGGCACTGGTTAACATAAATTGTAATCAAGTGTCACGATACAATTTACAAAAGTGGAGAGGAGGACTCAAGTGCAGTGAAGGGATGATTTATTAACTAAATAAAACAAAACACAAAGCAAAAACCCACAAAGGGGAAAACACAATAAATGAAACATAAAACAACACTGAACTAGGAGAACCAATACTAACTAAGAACATGACTAACATCACAGGGAAACCGGGGTGACAAAAGACAAAGATCCGACAAAGACAGCAAACAAGAGGAGACTTAAAAAGGAAGGCAAATAAGGTGGGTAACGAGGATAACAGGTGGGACAAATAAACCAATAATCAGATAACAAGGGGGAGGGACCAGACAATAACAAGAGCACATGGCCCAACATAACAAAACACTCAAGTGCATAACCAAGACAGGACAGACATGTGACACTACCCCCTCCCTATGGAGCGGCTACCAGACGCTCCATAAAACCGGGGCGGGAGCGGAAGGAAACACCAGGGCGGGACGGGAGGGACAGACCAGGGCGGGACGGGAGGGACAGACCAGGGAGGGAAACACCAGGGCGGGACGGGAGGGACAGACCAGGGAGGGACGGGAGGGACAGACCAGGGCGGGACGGGAGGGAAAGACCAGGGCGGGACGGGAGGGACAGACCAGGGCGGGACTGACAGACCAGGGCAAAACAGAGAGTCCATCGACGGCCAGGGCGAAACACAGAGTCCATCTGGCGGCCAGGGCGGTGAAGACCCCTCGGGCGGCCAGGGCGGTGAAGACCCCTCGGGCGGCCAGGGCGGTGAAGACCCCTCGGGCGGCCAGGGCGGTGAAGACCCCTCGGGCGGCCAGGGCGGTGAAGACCCCTCGGGCGGCCAGGGCGGTGAAGACCCCTCGGGCCGCCAGGGCGGTGAAGACCCCTCGGGCCGCCAGGGCGGTGAAGACCCCTCGGGCGGCCAGGGCGGTGAAGACCCCTCGGGCGGCCAGGGCGGTGAAGACCCCTCGGGCGGCCAGGGCGGTGAAGACCCCTCGGGCGGCCAGGGCGGTGAAGACCCCTCGGGCGGCCAGGGCGGTGAAGACCCCTCGGGCGGCCAGGGCGGTGAAGACCCCTCGGGCGGCCAGGGCGGTGAAGACCCCTCGGGCGGCCAGGGCGGTGAAGACCCCTCGGGAGGCCAGGGCGGTGAAGACCCCTCGGGAGGCCAGGGCGGTGAAGACGTCTCGGGAGGCCAGGGCGGTGAAGACGTCTCGGGCGGCCAGGGCGGTGAAGACGTCTCGGGCGGCCAGGGCGGTGAAGACGTCTCGGGCGGCCAGGGCGGTGAAGACGTCTCGGGCGGCCAGGGCGGTGAAGACGTCTCGGGCGGCCAGGGCGGTGAAGACGTCTCGGGCGGCCAGGGCGGTGAAGACGTCTCGGGCGGCCAGGGCGGTGAAGACGTCTCGGGCGGCCAGGGCGGTGAAGACGTCTCGGGCGGCCAGGGCGGTGAAGACGTCTCGGGCGGCCAGGGCGGTGAAGACGTCTCGGGCGGCCAGGGCGGAGCAGGCCCCTCTGACGGCCAGGGCGGAGCAGGCCCCTCTGACGGCCAGGGCGGAGCAGGCCCCTCTGACGGCCAGGGCGGAGCAGGCCCCTCTGACGGCCAGGGCGGAGCAGGCCCCTCTGACGGCCAGGGCGGAGCAGGCCCCTCTGACGGCCAGGGCGGAGCAGGCCCCTCTGACGGCCAGGGCGGAGCAGGCCCCTCTGACGGCAAGGGCGGTGAAGCCCTCTCAGTACCCGACACCGGCTCGATAACAGACACCGGCTCAGGGACAGACACCGGCTCAGGGACAGACACCGGCTCAGGGACAGACACCGGCTCAGGGACAGACACCGGCTCAGGGACAGACACCGGCTCAGGGACAGACACCGGCTCAGGGACAGACACCGGCTCAGGGACAGACACCGGCTCAGCCTCCGGCTCTGGAACAGGCATTGGCTCTGCCTCCGGCTCTGGAACCGGAATTGGCTCTGCCTCTGGAACAGGCATTGGCTCAGGAACAGACACTAGGACAGAAACAGTCACAAGGACAGACACAATCACAGACACAAACACTGGGTCCGGAACCGACATGGGCTCCGGCTCAGGAACAGGCACTGGCTCTGCCTCCGGCTCAGGAACAGGCACTGGCTCTGCCTCCGGCTCAGGAACAGGCACTGGCTCTGCCTCCGGCTCTGCCTCCGGCTCAGGAACAGGCACTGGCTCTGCCTCTGCCTCCGGCTCAGGCACTGCCTCTGCCTCTGCCTCTGCCTCTGCCTCTGCCTCTGCCTCTGCCTCTGCCTCTGCCTCTGCCTCTGCCTCTGCCTCTGCCTCTGCCTCTGCCTCTGCCTCTGCCTCTGCCTCTGCCTCTGCCTCTGCCTCTGCCTCCGGCTCAGGAACAGGAACAGGCACTGGCTCCGCCTCTGGAACAGACAGAATGTGATCAGTCTCTCGCTGGGCAGACGGGACGTGAACAGTCTCTCGTTGGGCAGACGGGCATTTCCTCCTCCTCCGTCCGTGACGGCGAGAAGTAAGTCCTGAGCTGTCCCTCAATGGCCCGGAATCAAAGAGGGCCCCGGATGGAGCGTGGTGTTGAACCACTTCTCGACCCTCTCGTCCTCCCTTACAACCTCCCCGGGTCCCTCGAAAAATGATCAGGCGAGTCCCCCGAAAATCTCTCCTCTCCTGCTCCGTGGCTGGGGAAGAGAATCTCGAAAACCCCCCGCTGGACCCAGGGTTAGGCGGAGTCCTTCTGTCACCATAGGTGGACGAAAATTGGGTTGACCCAAATGTGGCGATGGTGTAATCCGGGCAATCCAAGTAATCGTCATCCATATAATTGTCATCCAGATTCGCCCAGTCAAACTCCTCATCCTCCATTCTGCTGAGTCCTCAAGTGGTCGGATCTTTCTGTCACGATACAATTTACAAAAGTGGAGAGGAGGACTCAAGTGCAGTGAAGGGATGATTTATTAACTAAATAAAACAAAACACAAAGCAAAAACCCACAAAGGGGAAAACACAATAAATGAAACATAAAACAACACTGAACTAGGAGAACCAATACTAACTAAGAACATGACGACCATCACAGGGAAACCGGGGTGACAAAAGACAAAGATCCGACAAAGACAGCAAACAAGAGGAGACTTAAAAAGGAAGGCAAATAAGGTGGGTAACGAGGATAACAGGTGGGACAAATAAACCAATAATCAGATAACAAGGGGGAGGGACCAGACAATAACAAGAGCACATGGCCCAACATAACAAAACACTCAAGTGCATAACCAAGACAGGACAGACATGTGACATCAAGTGCCTTTAAAAATAACGTGTTGTGTGCTGAGATTCAGGGTTCAGAGTGAGAAAGTAGAGTGAATTCCCTGAATTGCCACACCTCAGTGATGTAGGTTAGAGATTTGCATATGTGGCCCATAGCGATAGTGATGCCATTTCCACAGGGTGTGATTGCAAACACAGGACCCCTTATGGGACATGATGAAAGTGTGATCCTTAACCCTCTTAAAAAAGAAGGAAAAAAAGAAAGGCAAGCCTAGTACATAGATTTCAGACATAGGCACAGTTCAGACGTTGACAATCATCTGTTTATTTTTAAATTTATTAAAAAAAACATTTAAGTTGTTCAACTCTTGAAGCCCTGAATATTATATTATATAATATTATATAATATTATATTATATATTTATTCCAGAGTTATTGGTACAACAGTAAATGTAACTTAACTTGGTAAAAAAAAAACCCTGGGCATTAGCCTGTCATAATTTATATATATATATATAGTAATATACAGCAATATATAATATATAGTATATAGCAGTCACATGGAACAGCCCAAAGGGGAAAAAATGTGATAAAAATGTGATGTTCATAAACTGTATGGTCATTTTGGATACATGCTTATGAATAATCAATAAAATATTATTACATATATTTGAAATATATTTAAAATTATATAAATATATTATATATTAGAATATTAATTCCAATATTATTTTGTTCAACCAGAGCCTATATAAAAAAAAAAACCACTACCATTACATGTTCAATTTAGACCACTCTTCCAATTTATCACTGATTTTACAGAAAAATCTTACAATTTTCTTTGATTTATCATCTATTCATTATTAATTATCTTTAATTCAATTTTCACTAAAAGCAAAGCAACGAAAGTGCTGTTATGTCACATTCACACTATAGCTGAGCTATGGCTGATATGCCTGTCCTTTCTATTTTTCCACAGATCTGAGCCCTGGACTTGCAGCACTGACTGTGGGATGTGATTCTGGTGATCTGGGATCTTTGTCCCGCGTGCAGCTTTTGCTATTGGACCGAAAAGGATCTGAAAGCCCTGGTTCCATCCCAAGCCCCGAATGGTGTTGCACTCCGGACGGGGAGGAGTATGAACCTGGCCTTAGAGTCTGGAGCTCGGGCATTCCCCAATATTATCAGTCCACAGGTACATTACATATCATATAGCAAGCTGCCAAGCACCTGTCCAGCGTAGCGGTAGATGTGTGCGTCTGTTTGTGTGTGGGTGTGCGCACGTATAAGCTTGCCTGTCTCTGCGCGTATTTGCGCGTAAAAAGGCAGACCCAATGGACCCATGCTATCTTTCCCCGTCACCTCACATCAGATTGCGATGTTTACATTCACGAGCAACAGCTCCTTGATTGCCTTTAAATAACTCTGAAAAATAGCAGTTAGGAGGGGAAAAAAAATTCCAAGAGGAACGGTTGATTTGAGTTGGGGAAATTTGGCATTTGTGCTGTGTAAAGGAGAGGGCGTCGGGGAATAACGTTACGGGTGTGCCGATTGTTGGCCGTCCTTGAGAGTAATGTTTTCAGTATTTGTCTCTGTGCGTGTGTGTGTGTGTGACCCCATTGCCGTTACCTTTGAACCAAAGCCGGCATGCCTCTCATCTGTTCCAGGGCGCGCGGCTACAAGTCCTTAACTGAAGCCATAAAGATGTAGCGGTTTGTTGCTCCTCCAAAAAAAGCTTTATGGAGTTATGAAAAAGTCATATTAATCAAGATAAAAAACGGGTCAAGTTTATCATTAACCCAAAACCTCAGTTCATCCACACGTCTGGTCTCGACGGCCCCCCTATCAGGACTTGATCCTGCGATGCGGCTATTGTGCATTGTTCAGGCGCAATCCACAGATAAAGGCACTACAAAGGAAGCCCACGTGTGCCGGATCAGATCTGGGTGCAATCTTGATGGGATGTGTTTTGAAATAGTGTTAATGTGTTTCTAAAGTCTGGCACAAACACGCACGACAGCGCGTGGAGGCCAGGCTCCTCGCTAGGTGTGTCTGCACCTGGCATGCTCCGACTAGACAGGTGCTGCTGCAGGTTTGTGAGGCACCATTTCTATCAGTATTTGCAGAAGGATTATGGACCTTCAGTCATGTCAAAAACAAGGCATTAATCACTCACTATCGTCCCTCTTCATGTATTGTTTTTGCACTTGTAAATATGGCTGTTGTTTTCAAGCGTGCGTGTGTCTATTTGCAGTCTTGGACAACCGCAAACCATTAAGTGGCAGAAACAGCGGCCAAGATTCTTTGGCAACTTTCAAGGGACACAGAAAGTGCCCTGGGGTGAGTGCCTTGCTCATAAAACCATTTCAACACACATAGAGGAATCTACGAGCGACTTTATGGCTGTCATTTCTGTATGGAGGCGACTGGGGGATTTCTGCTTGCTGCTGGGTGGCAGGTGTGGGGCTAATGAGTCAATACGGACAAGAAAAAGGTGCAGCCGCAAGGAAGTTGGGCTCCTCTGACTTGCCACGCTGATAAGGGGGCTGGATTTTAGGGCATGGATGTGCCACAGTGGGGCCAGAGGGCAAGGTTTAGGAGGTAAACAGTGTCAGCAAGGGGTACGAGGACACAAAACACTTGATGCAGGTGCAAAGGGATGGAGGCATTAATCTTTCTTTTATGAAGGGAGGAGGAGGAAGGCGAGGGGAGGGGTATGGTGGCGAAACATGAATGTGTTGTAAGCTGCTGTCAATTAAGTTCTTGTACAATAGATTTTCCCCAGGACTGATTACTGTTCAGGCCATTGCTTCTTTGCAGCACAGCAGGGCCCACACTTAGCACGGCCATGGCCGCAAACACACACGTTTTCATTTGGTGGTTATACACTTCTGTCCTTCTTGTGTTGACCTGTTTGTGTGTTCATTTTGGTGCTTTTAGCCCATCAATGTGGAGAGTGGATCAAGGACATCATCCTCTTGTTCTGTCAGCTCAAGAGTGTCTGAGAGCAGCTCTATGAACCGAAAGAAACCCACCTGTGAGGACCAAGGTGCACCATCCCTCACACCACCATACACGTAACTGATTTGTTAACTGTTGAGAAATGACATCTGACACAGATGAATCAATGCTCACATCGTCTCCAAACCCTTTCACTGCTGATATCAAGATTTTTTTCATTTGAAAAAAAATCAATTGTATGGTTTGCTTTGATGAATGTTCCAGGTTCAGTACATTAAGCTCAGGTCACAACATTTGTGGCATAATATTGATTACTACAAAAAAAGTAAAAAAAAAAATGTTGAATTTATTTTGATGAGTTGTGTCATAATGTCATAACTTATTGATCATATAAATTTTTTTACAGTGTATTCACTGTTTCAAACGTATAGCCATAAAACCTAAACAATATGCATGTTAAAGATTACTTACTATTTAAGTTATATCCAATTTTACAACTTTAAAACTTAACGTCATAAACCATAACAACTGTTAAAAAGGATGATTTAAACAGCTTTACAGATAAAACACACCTTTTAACAGAAGAATTAATGTACACTAAGGTTAGGGGCTGGTAAGATTTTTTTGAATGATTTTGAAAGAAGTCTCTTATGTTTGCCCTTGCTTGAGTGAAAACAGCAATGTTGCGGAAATGTATTTTCATTGAAATAGTTAAAAACTGTTTTCTTTTTAATAAAATGTATTTTAAAATGTAATTTAGTCTTCAGTGTCACATGATCCTTCAGAAATCAGTCTAATATGCTGATTTTGTGCTAATTTGCTTTTGTTTAATATTTTTGTGAAAACTGTGATAACTTTTTCTAGGATTCGTTGATGAGTGGAAGTTTAAACGAACAGCATTTATTTGGAAAAAAAAATTGCAACAGTTGAACGGTCTTTTATCCTCGCTGAATAAAAGTATTCATATAATTAAAAAATCTTACTGACCCCAAATTTTTAAAAGTTATGTGTAAGTGATTATATAAATTGCCTCTCCTTAACATCCGTTTTTTGTTTTTCTTGTTTTTTAAGAGTACGAGAGAGTCAAAATAATATTTTTTTGTAGTAATCAACATTATGCTGCAAATTCTGTTATTCAGCCTAACTTGCGTGTAACCCAGAATATTCCCTTAAACATTCATCAAAAAATTAAACCGATTTGATCATGAATAAACATGCTGAATACACATGTGATCATATTTAACAGCTTTCAGACACAGACCTAATTTCCAGCATGTGAGTGGTATAACACACCTTTCATAATGTCCACCTGAGGGGTGAATACCTGCATGTGCTGAGAGTGTACAGAGTAAAATGGCCGGTTACATAAACTAGTCTTACAAGTTAGTCATCTCATTTTTTTTCTCTTTAAGACTGGTTATAGATGTGTGTTTTTTTATGACAGTTACATTAAAAAGTCGATTGGTCAAATTTGAATTGCCCCTTGACTAACTGCAGGTTGGTCAGACTAATTCTTAAGATACAGTCTTAACATAGTGGCTACTGTATATTTATGCAACTGGCCTAAGGTGCCACTCCATGGAGCTCTCATCGCTGCCAGGCCAGTGTTTGGTATCCTTGTGCCTCTGGTACAGTTAAGCCACATAATCCCTCTGAGAGGCAGCTGCCTGATGCCAGGCCGGTCTTCTCTGTGTGGCCATCTTATGTACATAAATGAAATAAGTGCCTAGAAAGAAAATTAAGAGTCTGCTCCTATAATGTAGCCTACTCTCATTCTACCTCTCATGATGCAACCTTAACCAGAATGGAAAAATCCAACTCAAGCCAATTCAACTATGGCACTGTGGTGAAGCATCTGCCATAGCTTTGAAGAATAGCGTTAATGACCAACATCCGTCATTGTGTTGAGGAAGTAATGTTCCATGTTACTCAATCAGTCGCCTTCCTCCATTAGCGGCTCAGACTGGCATTTATGCAGGGCACAATGTTGCCCCACAAAACAACCCTGTTCTAAAGCTCAATGACATTTAAAATAATTTCCTTTTGAGGAAATTTCTTTTGAGGTGCTTAAAGAGTCAGTTCAGTTAAAACATTACAAAAATGTAATGTTTTACTCATCTTCATGTCATTCCAAACCCATACGTCTTTTACTTCTGTGGAACACAAAAGAAGAAATTTCGCCGAATGTTAACGCTGATCTTTTCCACAATGAAAGTAGGTGGTGACCAGGCATCAAGCAAAAAAAAACCCAAAACACACACAGCCAATTTGGCATGTTTTATGGTAGATGCCCTTACTGCCGCAACCCAGCACTGAAAGTGCAAAAACATAAAAGACTGAAAATCTGATTTTTCTTTCGTCAATTCTGTGAATTTTTAGTGGTTCTTAATCTGTAAAAAAAAAAATCTTGTTTCTCCCCAAGGTTGCGAGTTGCAAGATGAAGATGTCTCGCTCTATTTGTCGCCACTCTCTCCCAGTGCTTTGTTGACAGGTGAGTGGTATTTTGCTATAACACCAATGGGGTATTGACTTAAAATTCCTTTCTTATTTAGACCCAACACCTAAAGACTGGGTTAGTCATTCGAGACTTACCAGAAAAAAATAAATAAGGGACCTTGGGTTCAGTTCTTTCACCAAGACGGGCAAATAAAAGTAATTCACCTCAAAAGAGATGTTACTCATGTAACCTAGGAGACGGTGGGAGTGTCTGAGCACAACAACCCTCCTCAAAGTCCAAAGACATGGTCACTCCTGGGGAGAGGGTCAGTGTGGGGTCAGTGCGAGGTCATCCCGGGGCCAGTATGTATTGAAGAGGCCTCAATGTGTCTAAAACTGTGGACATGAGATTAAAGCTTCCTGCTGAGAATACCATGTGGATTATCACTGATTGGAACTCAAAAATAAGCAAAAACCTCTTAAAGGTCTCAATTTTATAGGGGAAAGTTGGAGAAGAAAGCACATTACTCACCATCAAAGCTGCTAATGTTAAAGGGATAGTTCACCAAAATGTTTTAATTCTTTCATCATTTACTCACCCTCATGTAATTCCAAATCTGTATGACTTTCTTTGTTCATATAATAAAGGTCAGTGGGGTCCAATGTTGTTTCAGACCCCAATTACTTTCGTTACATGGATACATAGTTCTTCAAAATATCTTCTTTTTGTGTTTCATAGCAGAAACAAAGTCATACAGGTTTGGAAAGACATGAGGGTGATCAAATGATGCCTTCAAATGAAATGATAGACGTTCAAAATTTTGCTGAAAAATCTACTGTACAAAATCTACTACATGGTTTTCTTGATTATCCAAACATCATTTTTTTTTTTTTAGGAAAATCATGTTAAAATCTGTGTCTCAAATATGATACAATAGGCTTTTAACAAACGTTTATTTATTGCATTATATATTTTGCCCTGCGCAATAAAAGCTACAGTGCTATGATGATAAAACCAAGCATTTAAATATCATCTTACTAAGACGTATCCAAAATTTCAGCAACTGCACTTATATGCACAATGGCATATTTCTGCACAGTTTGGGCCTGTTCTTTCCTCCTCGAGAATGAGCTCCATATTCTCATATATCACACTATGTGAACCATTAAAGCCTGAGGTATATCAAATTTGATATAAATATTTTTTATTTTAGATTTTATCTGAAGGTACAATTAACTGTTCCATTTAATATTAATATATATATATCAGAGCATTATTTAATATGTCAGGCGTTACAGGGTTAAGGCAATCAAAAATGACATAATCTGCTTCTTTGTGTGTGGTTTAGTCCGATTTAAATTTGTTTCGCTTTTTTCTTATAAAACTAATACGTGTGTTAGGCACCATTAATTATTCATCCGCTTGAAGAAACTATTAATTTTAGAATCATGATTCGCACACACTAATGAAGGTGTTTCGGTCACTGCACAAAATGACACATGACACGGTCCCGATTCCCACCAGTTTCGGCTCCCTGACCACTCCTTTGTCCTCCTGACTCATGTATTCATAGGTGTCCTAATCCCTTTTTGTGACGGAATGGCAACTATTGCTTTTCTCCTGGTCACTCGGGTGACCCCTGAAAGTGTTTATTATAGTCTTTAGCATTCAGCTGAAACTGAAGATGTCACAGAGGGACATGAATGTGCCATCATCCCGGACAAAAACAAGGGCCTAAACCAGACTGACCAAGGAGGATTGTTCTGGAAGACACCAGGCACTGGCGAAAAGATTAAGGGCGTGAATGAAAGAGATGGGGAAGGAGAGATTAGCCGTGTTCGGAGCAGGATCGTTTCACCCTAAAACAGGACCACACACTGACACAGTCACTTTGCCACCATTGTCTCTCTCTCACTGTCACCGAGGGCTCGGAAGCCATTGTTTGCCAAATCCTCAATCGTTTGGACAGCGCTGAGACCCGGATACCGACTCTTTGATTGGCACTTGTCAGCGCTGCTGGAATGGAATGACGTGTTGGGAAACTGAAGATCCAGAAAGGACAATCAGTACCATGAATAATAATCAAGGAGGGATTTTCCCTTTTTCCTCCACCCCTCCCTTTATTCTGCCAAAAGATGGAGGCGAATGGCTTTGGGTGGCACTGCTGAAAGCCTCTTGCCGTCCGATTGTGTTGTTGACGCTCATCCCTTTCTCAAACACACAAAGAAAGAGATACACGGTCGACCTTCTTGCTTCTTTCTGGTGCGCTGGATGCTCGGATTTCCACATGGGAGGGTGGGCAGGGTGTGTGTTAACCAAGGCGGACCAGGGGAGGTTTGTGTTTTGTCTTCTATGGCCTTGTGAGCACCAGGGGAGGGCCAGATGTAGGATTTGACTCTGCCACTCTCAGCCAAATCCAGCTATCTGTCTCTTTCAGGCCGGCCAGTTGGTATGGTAACCTGGCGTGTGTGGGTTTAAGATGGTTTCTAAGCAGGTCAGTGCCTTGTTTCCAGCTTTGACCGTTAAGTAATCACTGTTCTGCATTGGAGGATTAGGCAGTGTAAGAAAAGGAGGTTTTACAGGGAGAGATAGGCCGCACTGAATGGAATTAGTTGAGTTTCGGAAATTACCCTGTGAAACTTGATTTCACACAACGGTCAGGGTCTGGAGATGTTTAATCCACACACACACAAAAAAATACACGAAAAAAACTGTTTTTTTTTTGAAAACATTGAAAAAAACAATGTTTTTAGAAACATACAGTGCTCATTCTGAATCGTATGTTGACTCAAAATGTATTGATTTAGTAGTTCATTCCATGCAGTCTTTTTTAATCAAAGTATAAAGTATTTAAATCTGTGTAAAATTAGACAGAAAGGTCTCTAATAGAATTAATTAACAATTCAAATGTGGTTTCACTATGTTATTTTAGAGCAAAAATCAATAAATGTGCTTTCCCATGGGAAGTAGAACCTGACATTCTCTGATCTCACGTGTAAAGACTTGCAAGCATTTTTTTTATCTTCTTCTTCTTTTTCTTTTCTTTTTTTTTTTTTTTTAAGAAAAACAACAAATGTCTTCCATGATTGGCTGATTTTAAAATTTGCATGAACAGAAAACTTTCCAACATCAGGTTTGGGCTGCAGCAGTCTGCTTGCTTAGATTACAAGGACCAACAGTCTGTGGATCATAAACTATGAATCATAAACTATGTAAACCCGTTTGCCCTTGCAGGATTTATGCAAAGGTGCCTTGTTGTCAGTATTCTCACGTTGCACAGAGCTGATCACAGATCCATTACGGCCCATTTTTAGAGCTGAGCAAGTGCTTAACTGTCCATTTTCACGTCTCATTTGCTCGTTTTGCGAAATGTTTTCACACCATTAAAGGCTGAGCGTGATGTATTGGCATCTGTCAAGGTGATAAATCCAAAGCAGTATTAGCCTATATGATCAGAAATGAAATAAAAGCAGAGACACCTGCTCTTATCAACAATACCCGAACTGTGTTTAATCCTGATTAATAATCAGTTTATAAAAAAATAAAAAAATAAAAAGTTTATTCGGTATATAAAGTAAACAAAAAATTCCCTTAAAATCTATTATGCAATTGATTTAAAAAAAACTGGAATATTACACATATTATTTTAGAATAGTTTTCAGTATTGTCGTTATTAATATATTATTGTAATTTAATAGTGTAATATTTTTTATAGAATTATTTTTTAATAAAAATATTAATCAATAATTAATCACTGTAAAAAGAGATCAGTTGACTTAAGTTAAAAAAGAGAGGAAACCGGTTGCCTTAAAATGATTAAGTAAATTAAGGTAAAAAAAAAAGTTATGTGGAATTGTCAAGTTCACATAACTTATTTTTTTCAATTACGCATGAAGTCTGTTTACTTAATCATTTTTAGGGCAACGGGTTTCCTCACGTTTTTTGAAGTTATGTCAACTGATCACTTTTTAAAATACATTTTAGATGACACAAACCACATATTTGCGGCAAATGAGCTAACTTGGCACAACTATGATTAGTTGCATTTTATTAATTGCATTTAGCATTGTTTTACCTTGCTGTCTATAACACTGAACAGACTGGCAGCCCATTTCTGGATCTCAACCAACCAGTTGAGAACCACTCTCTCAAAGACATTTACTATTGTACATTTACTAGCCCATTCTGTAATCGCAAATGTAGAAACATGAGGTTGAATAATTAACAAACTGACCCCTGGAATTCATGTGCAGTTGTGTTAATGAGAACGAGAGCTGATTTTCCTGTTCTCCTCTCTCTCACACTGTTGCACAAAGCCACATCACAGTCCAGTGTTTTAGATTGAAATGCTGAAGAACACACAATCCAGAAACCCCCACAGGTTCAGTGCTAATCGATCTCACTCTTTGTGTCTCTAAACGCAGGAAGTGCTTTGTGAGGACTTCTCAATGAGTTCTAATGGAAGCTGCTAATTTGGGACCGCTGGTAAATTAACAGACCTCCAGGTCTCTCAAGAGAGCATTTTGCTTTTAAATGGTGTCTTTGAGGAAGGACAGAAAATGTGATTATGAAGTGTAAAGGAGGAAGGAAACAGAATAAGTACATTTTGAATGGAAGAGTTAAGGGGAACATTTGAGAATTCTGCCACAGAAGACCCATTGGTATCCGATTCACAGAAAAATCCAAGTAAAGGTACAAAAAAAGAAAGAAAGCATTGTTTGTGGTCTCACACATTGATAAATTAAACAAATACATCTAATTCTATCACTGTTGTATGTTTCAAAATGCACAAAATTAATTGTAGATTAGAAGAAGCATTTAGAAGAAAACAGAATATTAAAGGTCAGCGCAGCAGAACATTTTTATGGGTGGTCTCCATCTTTCCAGGGCCATAAAGCAGGGGTTTGGGGTCTGGGACCCCCAGGTGGTGGCAAGACAGTGCTTTTGGGATCTGTAAATAATTATAAAGAAATCTAAAAGAAATTTGAAAGAAATCGAAAATTTGATGAATTTTCCATTATTACTATTGCATTCTGCTTTCTAAAGATTGGCAGGAAATCAGGATTATTATTTTCACTTTGCAGCCATACAAACAATTCTTCATATATTTTTGTTTAATTTTTTTTAAAATGCAATATATTATATGATTATATAATTCAATTATATTATAAGAAATAAAAAATGCATTTTGTGAACAATTTATATTTATTTTTCAATTGATTTAAATTTTATTATTAATTTATATTAAGCCACTAATCACAAGTCAGCTGTGCATTATTAAATAATCTAATATGCATGTTATATGCTTGATGTCTGCTAAATTAAAGAAAGCCCAGCAAACGAGGGGACCATTCTGGTCCTGCAGTGCCCAGAGAGGAGTGACCATGCTGAAAAGCACAGGAACAGGTCCGACAAACTCCGAGAGAAGAGGAAGAGGAAGAAGGAGACCAAGAAGACAGAGGCGAGGAAGAATAAAGCCCTGGAGATTTACTCCAAACTGCAGGATGGAAAAGACCTGACAGAGCCCACTCATCAAAGCCCTTGCGCTAAGTTTGAGGACTGTAAGTACAAATCCATATGAAAACCACTCTGAATTCGTTGAATGTATTATGACATCATTTCCAAGTCGCTTTTTACCAATCTGCCATTGTTAACTGGCAATTTAAACAGTTGATTGATAAGGTCCTTTCAGTAGGCCACCATTTTCATTTTAAGGACAACAAAAACGCTCACACCATTCAAACAGAGAACCCCACCGCTGTAATTTGACACTGTGTACACACTCGTCGTCCCACCATCTCTTGTTTAGTTTTGAGCTCGGAGCTTTGCACTTGATTTTTTAATTAGCTGTGCTTTCGAGTGCCGTTCTGCCGATCTACGCCAATGGTCCCAATTTGCTGGCCATTTTCATGATTGGATATGCGGTTTGGAGTGCTGAGGAGAGGGAGGGTGTGTACTGAAGGTCAAGGTGAAGGGGCGGAGCCCCAGCTGGGTCACGGGAGGTCACGGGGCTTGTGTGAATGCAGGGGTATTGTGTGAATAGGCCTGATTGGACAGGTCCCTTCAGCTCCTAATCAAGCACAAGAGGAGGAAGCATGCAGCTGTCGCTCACATCAGAGATGAGTGTTGCTCTTTGTGTGTATGTGGATGAAAGTGAGAGGAGTTTGAAAGGGAGAAAGTAAAGAGAAATGTGCTGAAAATGTTAATGTTTCAGAATGACTTAAATTTGTCCCTGTTTTAAGTTCCCTTGTTCTCCTGTACCAATTATTCCTATAGGATTCCCTCAGAACGAGACGGCATTCACCATAAATTGTGTGTATGAATATGTGTGAGGCCTCTCAGACACGTGTGAGTGTGGCTCCTCATTAGGGGCTCAAAAGCCCTAATTGGACATGATTCGTACCCACTCTCTCCATACTGACCAGAAAATCAATGCACAAATGGCAAGTGTCCCAAAATAGGTCTGGCCTTCCCTGTTCTTTCAGTTTTTCCCTTCTTTCCTCTCTGTTTTTGTGGTTTCCCTTTCTATGGCCCCTACCTGCAGCAGGTATTCAGTGTTTGGCTGTATGTTTTTTTTTTTTGAGTGTCCATGGCTGCATTCAGAATAGAATACTAGCATACTACTGGACAGTACAGTACTGTATATATTGCTTACTATACACAGGTCCTTCTCAAAAAATTAGCATATTGTGATAAAGTTCATTATTTTCCATAATGTAATGATAAAAATTAAACTTTCATGTATTTTAGATTCATTGCACACCAACTGAAATATTTCAGGTCTTTTATTGTTTTAATACTGATGATTTTGGCATACAGCTCATGAAAACCCAAAATTCCTGTCTCAAAAAATTAGCATATCATAAAAAGGGTCTCTAAACGAGCTATTAACCTAATCATCTGAATCAACTAATTAACTCTAAACACCTGCAAAAGATTCCTGAGGCTTTTAAAAACTCCCAGCCTGTTTCATTACTCAAAACCGCAATCATGGGTAAGACTGCCGACCTGACTGCTGTCCAGAAGGCCATCATTGACACCCTCAAGCAAGAGGCTAAGACAGAAAGAAATTTCTGAACAAATAGCCTGTTCCCAGAGTGCTGTATCAAGGCACCTCAGTGGGAAGTCTGTGGGAAGGAAAAAGTGTGGCAAAAAATGCTGCACAACGAGAAGAGGTGACCGGACCCTGAGGAAGATTGTGGAGAAGGACCGATTCCAGACCTTGGGGGACCTGCGGAAGCAGTGGACTGAGTCTGGAGTAGAAACACACAGGCGTGTGCAGGAAATGGGCTACAGGTGCCGCATTCCCCAGGTCAAGCCACTTTTGAACCAGAAACAGCGGCAGAAGCGCCTGACCTGGGTACAGAGAAGCAGCACTGGACTGTTGCTCAGTTTTGCATGTCATTCGGAAATCAAGGTGCCAGAGTCTGGAGGAAGACTGGGGAGAAGGAAATGCCAAAATGCCTGAAGTCCAGTGTCAAGTACCCACAGTCAGTGCTGGTCTGGGGTGCCATGTCAGCTGCTGGTGTTGGTGCACTGTGTTTTATCAAGGGCAGGGTCAATGCAGCTAGCTATCAGGAGATGTTGGAGCACTTCATGCTTCCATCTGCTGAAAAGCTTTATGGAGATGAAGATTTCATTTTTCAGCACGACCTGGCACCTGCTCACAGTGCCAAAACCACTGGTAAATGGTTTACTGACCATGGTATTACTGTGCTCAATTGGCCTGCCAACTCTCCTGACCTGAACCCCATAGAGAATATGTGGGATATTGTGAAGAGAAAGTTGAGAGACGCAAGACCCAACACTCTGGATAAGCTTAAGGCCGCTATCGAAGCATCCTGGGCCTCCATAACACCTCAGCAGTGCCACAGGCTGATTGCCTCCATGCCACGCCGCATTGAAGCAGTCATTTCTGCAAAAGGATTCCCGACCATGTATTGACTATTGAGTGCATAACTGAACATAATTATTTGAAGGTTGACTCTTTTTTTTTGTATTAAAAACACTTCTTTTATTGGTCGGATGAAATATGCTAATTTTTTGAGACAGGAATTTTGGGTTTTCATGAGCTGTATGCCAAAATCATCAGTATTAAAACAATAAAAGACCTGAAATATTTCAGTTGGTGTGCAATGAATCTAAAATATATGAAAGTTTAATTTTTATCATTACATTATGGAAAATAATGAACTTTATCACAATATGCTAATTTTTTTAGAAGGACCTGTATATATTTTTTAAGTATGTGAAATTCAAATAGTGTGCTACATTATTTTCATCTGACCTCACGTTTAAATCAGTGCGTTGCTTCTAGTGTAATAAAAAAGATGAATTAGTATATTTAACCTGATGTGATGAAGAAAAAACAATAGATATGAATTAAGAATTAGATTCCTCAACATATTAATTTGTGGCTATGTTTTATTAATTTGTTCCCTCATTTTAGTAAAATTGTGGCCACGTTGTACCAATTGCATTCTCTTGTTAAATTGTGGTCATGATGTATTCATTTGTTCACTTATTTTACCATTTAAAAATATGCTGAAATACAGTCATTATGGGAATCCGCACAATTGGGAGTTTCATGAGAAGGCGGTAAAGTTCCCATCCAGATTTAACTCGTTTTCATGTGAATTCTCTGCAATGACCAACAAAAAGGTGCTGGGAATTGACAATTTGCTATGCTATTGACAATCGACAATGGACCTTTTTTGCCCACGAAATTTTGCTGATGTGTCTGCACCATTAATCTTTCAAAAATAATGTGTCAAGAATGAGATATTTGTGTATTACATAATACATGTATTCCTTTCATCACACTGGCAATAGAGGGTAACTTCGAGTGCATTGCAGTAAGACAGTATTCCATGCAGTGTGCACTTCTGTGTGCTAGACTCATGGCCAAGTGTAGTAGGATTCCAGGTATTTCATGCATACAGAAAATGTGTTTACTACACTATACTCTATATCACACTATATATATATATACTGCAGAAATAATATGAGTATAAGATATTATTTATAAATCCAAATATATGCATACTTCCATACTATAGTATACCAAAAGCAAATGAGTTGTGTCTGAATGTGCAGTATTCATTAACTGTGCAAAAGATACCTGGATGACCTACGCTGAGTTTCTGAAAGGCACATCCAATGGGATGTCCCATGAGGTTACTGCACATAACATGTGTAAATATTAGAGAAGAGTGGAATAGCTGTTTTCGGTAACAGGACAATGCCAGCATTGCAGATGTAGTATGTGTGAACTGTATTCATACTACATGTATAGAACATACAATATCCAGTACTCTGACAGTATGCGATTCTGGATGCAGAAAGTTTGCATACTTCACACAATAGTATACACCGCATTCTGTACAAATAGTATGAGTAGAATGCTATTCCAAGCATAGCCCTTATCTATGTTTCTTCTGGTCACTTGGAGAAAGTAGAGATCTCTGATAAATGTTAGCATTGAAGGGGAACACCTGGTAGACCTGAAACTGCCCCACCCTGCTTGTTTGCAAGTCTGCCAGTGGTTAGTGTTCAGACCATGTAGGAGGCTGACTATGTGGCTCATTTGTTGTTTTCTCACTGATGAATGGCTACTTCAAAAGCTCAGCATCCTGAAAGGCCAGAAAGTGCGTGTATATATGTGTGTGTTAGTGGTACAGTGGCTTTATGTAAGTGCTGTTTGCACAGTGCTAAAGGATGGAGTAGCTGTGTGTGTTTACTATTAGCTCAGAGTGACTAGGCAAACAAACAGTCCCGCTATTGACAAGCACGAAGCATGGAATATGCTCGCTGTTTTCAAAGCTCACAGCGAGAGGGAGAGAAGTGAATCTGTCAAAGACTCTATTATGCGGCATCCAAACAGAGTGGGCTTTTCCACAATGCCCTTAATAAAGGGACAATGTCAAGGAGAGCGGTGGCAATAATAGCAGATGATTTGGCCATTGTGGGGTTATCGCTGTAGATAAGTTATAACAGATGATTTGCCCTTTGTGAAGTTATCAGTGGAGATCAGGGTGTAGTGGTTTGTGAGGGATTGTGATCTGTGTGTATGTGTGTTGAGAGTGCATGGCATGCCGCCAGCAGGAGGAGTGTGTTGCCTGTGTGTGTCTTTGTTTGTTTTTCACCCCTCCTTTTAATGGGCAGTAAAGGGGCGGAGCCACGTGTCCGGCGGCCAACAACAAAGCTTGCTTCGAGAGGTCTGCCAAAATTTCCCCCCTGCACTTGTTCAAAGGGACTAAAGTACAGTGCCAAATTTTTTAAAATCAAGAAGCACAGCAGAGTCGGATACCCCGTGTAAGTTGTTTGTCAGTTGGGTCAGCACCACAGTGGCCCGCACGTGGCATACAGAGTGCATACAATGTGTGTGTGGTGTAGGATGTGGTATAGGCTAACAAAAAGTAGTTTTTACACTTAAGCTACTATAAAAAACATTTACTTTTGTTCAACTTGGGTCAAGGATTTTTGTGGATGTGTGATGTCAGCTGCCCTCAAGTTTACAGAGGTATTAGGTAATACACACACACACACATACACACTCTTT